GTGCCCCAAATCTAATGGCACAGTCATCCACTGAGGTGCATAAGACGGAAGGCCATGAATCATCCTTGGCTTCTTTCCATACTGTCCATATCAGGGGCTGACAACTCCACCCACTACACACATATAAATTCCATGCCCCTTTCCACTAAAAGTTCCCTTCATGGATGGTCTCTTCACTGGTCTCTCTGTATCCACCCTTACTCTTCATTAATTATCCGCCCCCATCCATTTCCCTCCACCCAGAGCAATCCTGTTAATATATAATCTGATCACACCAGTCCTCTGTTTGACACCCTTCCTGACTTTCCACTGGCCTGAAATGCCAAAGCCCTATTGGAGGCTCCTCTGTCCTGACATTTAACATGTATGTTGAGGGCCTAAGAGGGTAGGGGTCTTCCTGGGGTTGGTGGCCTTGGAGAAGTGCAGGGAGGAATAATGGAGGCTGCTGGGGACTGCCCCTAAAAAGCCCCAACTGTGGGACCCCATGAACTTCCAGGGTGGGCAAGAAGCCTTGAGGGAAGTAAGTCCAGAGAGGCAGAAGTTGGCAGTATCCTGCACCCAAGGTCTCCCTCAGGCCTCCTTGGTCACCTAATTTCCTTTTAATTGGTGCCTAATGGAAGTGAATTGTTGAGTTTTAATGTGTCTGTTCAAGTGCCAGTCTTAACCTGCCTCCCTTTTCCCAGGAGTCCGTGGCTGCAGGTGGAAAGAAGGAAGACAGGCTGTTGAGGGTGGGGAGGAGTGTGCACCCTTCCCCCAGCCCTGCTGAGGTAGGCCTGATAGTCCACAGGTCTCCCTGGGACCTTCTCTACTTCCCCAACACCCCCTCCCTGTCCACCTGCATCCCCTGAATACCTAGGTTCCAGTATCACTGACTTAGGACCTACTTTGTGCTGGCACTGTGCTGAGAATTTTCCCTGCATCACTTTCTTGAACCCCCATCAGAACCCAGTGAGGCAAGTAGTACTTGTACCCCCTTTCCACAAATGACTCTGAACTGACATGTCCAAGGCCACTGCCTTTATTCTATCTAGAGCTGTGCTCTAGATATGGTAGTCTCTAGCCACACTTGACTACTGAGCACTTAGAATGTCACCAGGCTGAACTGAGATGTGCTGTATGTGTAAAACAAACACTAGACTTCAAGACTTAGTAAGAAAAGAGAATGTTGGTAATTTCCTTTACTGATTATGTGTTGAAGTGATTTTTTGATATATTGGGTTAAATATATTATTAAAATAAATCTCACCTATTTTTCTTTTTATTGTTTTTAAAGTTTATTTGTTTATTTTGAGAGAGAGCATGTGAGCAGGGGAGAGGCAGAGAGAGAGAGGGAGAGAGAATCCCAAACAGGCTCCATGCCATCAGCACAAAGCCTGACACAGGGCTTGAACCCACAAACTGTGAGATCATGACCTGAGCCAAAATCAAGAGTTGGACGCGTAACTGACTGAGCTACCTAGGCACCCTTATTTCCTTTTTAAAAATGGCTACTAGAGAATTTGACATTTAAAATTACATATGTAGTTTTCGGTTTTTTGTTGGGCATTTTCCCAGGGTCTGGTCTTACACACATAGGGCTGGTCTGCTCACCCATGACCCTGCCATGGCCTGGAAGGCAGGGGAAGCTGCAACCAAGCTTGGGTGAGTCCCGAAGGCTGTCTCACCTCTTGGGAGGGCTGCGGGTCCCTTTCAGCACCCTGGACAGCATCCAGGGCTGTCTTCACCTTGGGTCCTTGGATCGCGCCAAGGCCCAGGAAGGAATAACCGAGACAGGGGCAGGTATCACCTGCAAAATGCTCCCCATGAATAATAATATCAGTGAGGAGGGCTGGGTAAGAATTATCCATATCCCCATTCTGCAGATGAGGAAACCAATGTTGTTTTGTGCATTCCGTCTGTCCACTCAATAAAGATCCACTGATGCCTGCTCTGTGTGGAGCCAACTGAACATACAAACCTGACCAGATCAACATAAATGACAACAATTCTGTGAGAAGTTTGACAGTGAAAGTGTGTGCCAGGACTTTGGGAGCCCAGTGGGTGCCAACTCCTGAGACAGGGAGTTCAGGAATGACTTCACAGAGGGGCCACTTGGGCTAGATCTAGAAGGATGAAGGGGGTTGCCAGGAGGGAGTCCCAAACAGAAGAAATGACATGTGCCTAGGGACAGAGAGCAGAGAGACAGGCCAGGAGAGTTAGGCAACGGACACATCACCAAGGGCCTAGATTCTAGGCTACTTCTAGGATCCTTAGGAGGCTTCTGAGCAGGGCAGTGGCCAGGCCACGTCTGCATTTTGAAAAGATCACACTTGGGCCAGGTGGACCAAGAACTGGAGATAGGAGGCAGAGAGAATAAGGAAGACAACAAGGTGAGAAATTCAAGTCCAGGAAAGAAATGACGAGTTAGCTATTAGCCCTAATGGAAGAGCTCTCAGGCCTACAGATAAGGAAACCCAAGCCAAGGGCCCAGCAGCCTGTCCAAAGTCACACCCCAAGTCAGGGCTTGGGGGAGTGAGGACTGAGGGGCAGAGGGATGGGGCCCTGAACCCAGGAAAGCTCTGCCACAGAAGCGGCGAGCCTCCAGCCTGTTTGAGCAGAACCAACAAGGTGAATATTAAACTGCCCCAAACCAGATGCACAGCAAGAAACCACAAGAGGGGAGGGGAAAGCACATGGCAGCTCAGCCCCAGAGATCCCAGCGGTGGCCAGTGGAGCCCAGGGCCAGGAAGAAAGGAGACAGGAATACAGCAAAGGCACGGAGACGGCTTTAGGTGGTAGCTCAGAGAAAAGCCTGGCCTGCACCATGGTGGGGGCCCAAGGTCAGGGCCAGAGGCTTTTTTTTGTGCCAATAATGTCCATCACAGCACCCGAACCTCCTCTCTGGGGGCAAAGCAAGTGCTGGGCGCTGAGAGAAGGAAACCCAGTGCGGGGGGTGAGGAAGCTTGCCTGGAAGAATGAAGCTGACACAGAGCAGCTGTGAGGAGCAGAACGCCCAGTGGCACTCTGACCCTGGGTCCCCTCACCCAAGGCCAGCCACACATGCCCACCACTGTCCTTGCTGCAGCTTGCAACTCCTGAGTGAACAAAGTTCCCTTTTACCTGGGCTGGCTGGTATCGAGATCCTGCCATTCACAGCCCCAAGTCCCAGTAAAGCCACTGACAAGGTGTGTGAGTTTGGGAAAGTCATGTCCCCTCTCTGAGCCCTGACTTTCTCATCTGTAAAGTGGGGGAGTCACAATACCTACCTTGAAGACTCAAATGAAGTCGTGCCTGAGAGAGCACCGTGCGCAGTAAGTGCCTGGGGTGCCCAAGGGAAGGCGGCCTGGAAGGTTCAAAGGAACTGAGGGGGCCTGGAAAAGCCCAGGGCCTAGGGGCACAGGCCTGAGGACTCTGCTCCCACTCCCCTGACCAGGCCCACAGCAGGCAGAATTCAGAGAAGACTGAGGGAGCCTGTACCTCCATGGCCATCCCTCTTCCAGCTCCTTCAGGAGGCTGTTAGCTGTCACCCCTGCTGCAGCAGCCAGTCCCTTCCCCCACTCTCTCATCCAGGCTCCCACAGCACCTAACCCCTCCCTCTGATGTGTCAGCCATCCCCGGAGACTGAGTCCCTGGGGAGTGGCCCAGGGGTGCCCACGCTGCTGAATGGCCAGGCCAGCAGCTGCACCTGTGGCCCCCGCTCCCAATGCTGCCTGACCACAGAAGCACACTACTGCACAGACTGCAAGCTATTTTTACATGCTGAGCCTGTGCCCCCTTTTCCTGGGTGCCTGGGAACTGAGCAAGGGTCCATCCACTCAGGCATGTGAAGCATACACCCCAGCAATGAGCCTCCCATCCCGGCCCTCTGGCACCAAGGCAGCCTGGTCCCCCCCACTCCACACCCGCACTAAGCCCTGAACCCCGAGGCTCCACTGCCACCCAGCACCCTGTCGCTCCCCTGCAGCCATGAAGCTCAGGTGCCGAGAGGTGAGTTGAAGCTTCCTGTCCTATCAGGGGGAGGCTGATAAAAGGTGTACGAGGGTGGGCTCCACTGTCCACCAAGCCTGGGTTTGAAATCCCAGCTCTGACTCTGACAATGGCCTTGAGCAAGTCACTTCCCATTTCCGGCGTTGTGTTCCTATCCACAAGCCTAAAACCTTCCAGCAAGGTTATTCTGAGGCATCAGTGGTTGTGTGTGCAAAGCTCCTAGCACAGAGCGCAGCATGAGACCAAGTGCCAAGTGATGATAGCTAAGACTTGAGAAGCGGCTTCTGTGCCAGGCACTCGCTAAGCCCTTTGCATATATTAATGTCTCATCCTCTTAGCCACCCTATGAGGTAGGTACTATCACCAGCCCTATTTCACAGAAACTGAGGTCACTAAGCACTGCCTTGGCTCCAGCCTAGGCAGCCTGGCCTCTGAGTCCCAGTGAACAGCAGCCATGACCATCATAGCCACGGGGGAAGGCCAGCTGCAAGGGGTCCCATACCACACGCCCAGTCTGCTTACCCACCCAGGCCCTGACAGGAGACAGGATGCGTCCGAGGTCATCCAGGAAATCGGGGGCAAAGATGGAGTCAGAGCCCAGGTGTCCCCTCCCAGTCAGGGCTGGCCTGACCCCATTATGCAATTTGCTGAGACCAAGTGAGGTGAACCAAGGAGACGGGGGAACAAAGCTGGGGTCCCAGGGCTGGGCCTTCACCTGGGGGAAGCAAACAGCTCAGCAGCAAAATCCACAGAGTGAAGTTTATTCCCGACAAAGTTCCCCTCCCCCCTCCCCAGCCCAGGACAGGGACAGACAGCCTGGGGTGAAGATGGGGGGGCCTCTGAGAAACAGGGAAGGGCCCTGGCCCCCCAGGCCATGCCGTGTCTGGCTTCCCCAGCCCGGCCGAGTCCACTGCGCCTCCCTGCCCAGCCCTCGGGAAAGGGGAGGGGGCGCCGGCTCCTGGGTGGTTCCAAAGTGGAGTGTGAAAATAGAGAGATATATATATTTATACGCAGTGGGCAGTCCGGTGTGGCACTCACACCTCTGTCTGGAAGTCGCCATCAGGTGGTTCTGTGGGCTCCCAGGCTGCTGCTCGGTGCAGGGCCAGCCGTTCTCGGGGCTTGGGGGGCAGCGAGCCCAATGTCATAGACTTGAAGGTGCTCCAGCTCTGATGTCTCCGCTGTTGGGACAAGCCGGGGTGCTCCCCAGGGCTGGGCTTCTCCTGTGGGGGCAGTGGGAAGGAACCCGTGGAGATGGGCCAATACCCTCTCACTCGTTGTACAGGACAAACCGAGGAGGCCCAGAGAGGGCTGGTGAAGCCCAAAGTCACCCAGCAACCAGGTGCCTGAGCAGAACTGAAACCCAGATCCGCCTGGTTCCGTAGTTGGGTTCCTGAGCCCGATGCTCTGAGAGGCCCCTGGGATCATGTCTTCTGTGTGCCCCCCCCCCCTCTTCAAGACCCTGCTGGAGTCTCTGGCAATGCTCCCCATCCCCAGAGCAGCCTCATAACAGTCACTTATGCCATGGGTGGACCCTCAGTGAGCTAGGCTGAGGTTGCCCAGGAAGGGGAGGAGGGCTGGGAGGGAATGAGCCCCTCGGAGCCCACCTGACCCCAACCCAGCTCAGGGGCACTTACGCCGGTCACGCTCCGTTCGGCCGTCCCACCCGAGGACACACTCCACCGCTTCTCCCTCTGCAACGGGGGCCACGGGTCAGGGTCCGACCCCAGGGGGCCCTGTGTCAGGTTGGGCCCCGAGCTTTGGGCAGGGAAAACCGCGGGAGTAGCCCTCACCTTGGCTGCGGACTGGCTGCGGTAGCGGTCGAAAGTGTGGAATTTCTGGTTGAGCTCGTGGTAGAGTTCCGAGTGCCGTTTCCGGGTGTGCATCACCTTCTGGGAGCCACAGGGTGTGAGAGGAGGTGCTCCGCACTGGGGTGGCACTGTGAGCCACCCCCCACCCCTGTCCCCTGGCTCCCCACATCCCTGCCTGCTGTTGGCCCTCTGGGACAAGGCCTGGGTCTCCCTCTACCCCGGAGTGATGCTTGGGCTGGGATCGGGGGATGGTGGGAAGCCCCCATGGAAACCACGGGTTCAGGGTCCTTGGGTCAGACTCTGCAATGGGGCTTTGGCTAATTTTAGGAGTGGGCCCTCCAGGGACAGACACCGCCCACGGATGCCCCCCAACACACATGCGCATACGTGCACATATGCGTGTACACACACACACACACACACACACACACACACACACACACCCCACTTACCTCAAAGTCCAGGTCTGAATATCGTAACTTCTTTCGCTGGGAGGGAGCACCAAGGAAACAGTGAAGGAGAAGAAAGCTTTTTACCACATGCAGTGGCTTTAGAGACAAGAGACCTGGCACCCAACATCTGCACCTACCCCTGTAACCTTCCTACAGCACAGGCCCAGGAGCTAGGAATACTTCAGGGCAGCCCTTGGGGTTGTGGGAACAGGACGGAGGTCTGGGGGATGAGGAGCTGAGGCATGACCCGGCCACAGGGCTGCAGCTCAGGCCCCAGGCCCACACCCCTGCTGCTCCCACACATGACTGAGCCTGCAGGCAGACGCTCACAGGGAGACCGCACACACAGACACACCACAGACGTGCGACCACACACAGACATGGGTTCCCACATGGGATCACAGAGCAGACACTCCTTCCTCTGTGCCCCGGACTCTACCCCTCTGCCCCATCTCGCCCTACTCTCTCTGCCAGCTACAAGCTCCCCTCTCCTTGGAGCTCTCCACTTGTCCTACAAACACGAGGACTCAGGTTTTCAAGTCCTTCCTTTGACCCTGCCTTGCCCCTTTCCCTGGTCTCTGCACCGCTCCAGGCCCTTTCCAGCCCCTCACTTGCCCAAGAGCATTCAAGGCCCCGGTGACCTACGCAGCATCCATAACTATTCGAGGAGGAGGCCTTAGAATCTTAGAACGTTGGCACCAGAAGCACTCATGAGACCAAAGTCAACTGTCCCAGGTTACACTGGGGAAACTGAGGTCCAGAGAGGAGAAGGGACTTACCCCAAGGCCCTCAGGGATGATGCTAAGACTGCCATCTAAGATTTCCCAAGTCCCAGGCCCAGCAGACATGGTCATCACCACTGGCCTCTATGACACCACTCTCTCCTGGTCCTTCCGCCTCTCTGCCTGCCCCTTCTCCACCGTCCACCCTGGCTTCCCCAACACTGGGCCCTCCGCGCTGTGCCCTGGACCTTCTCCTGCCCTTCTCTATGCACATGGGTGACACATGGGTGTCCTCTCTGTTCTGGCCACCTCTCTCTTTCTGGAGGCAGTGGGACATCTCTTCCTGTCCCCAGGCACCACACACACAGCTGTGCCCAACTAAAAAAACTCAGAATTCCCCGCCCCAAACCCGCTCCTCCGCCTCCACTCCATTGCGGTTGCCTGCACCAGAATTCTGGACGTCATCCTTGACCCCTCAAGATACTGCCACATTTATTGCTACCTCCCACACAAGGAGCCTGAAACTGGCCCCGCCTCAGTGGCCCAACCCTGGGCAGGTGTCCACAGAACAAAACCTGCCATGATGCTGAATGCACTCCTCCCCAGTGCCGGTGTCGTTTTGTCTTTGTTATGCCTTCCGGTTTTTGCCATCTGCAGCGGGAGCAGGCACCAAATGTTCAAGAAACATTTTGGGAGAGAAACTCAACTTGCAAACCTCTAGCTGCTAACTTAATTTCCTTTGTGCGGAGGATGGGGAGAGGTTTCTGAGGCCAAACATGAGCAGCCAACAGTGTCTGAGCCGTGACTCCTGCTCCTGTCCTTATCCACATTTCCATCATTACTCCCAGAGTTCCAGAATGTTCTGGAGTTCTACAGTGGACCACTATCACCTGCTTGTTCTCAGCAATTCCCTGACATGGCCAGAGGGAGGGTGGAGCCTCCACAGAAAACACACAGGTAGGGAGAGAAAGGGGTTTGTGTTTTCTCAGGAAAAGAGGGCCAATGACCACAGGCCCATGGGCAGTGTCTGAGGCTGATTCCAGGGATGTTAACAGCAGCAACTCCCAATTATCTAGCACTTACTACCTGTTCCACACAGACACCAGCGTTTTATACCACTCAATTCGTCCTCGGAACAACTCTACAAAGAGTCTCCCCACTTTACAAGTGAGGAAACTGAGGCTCAGAGAGAGATTCGCTCAAGATCTCACAGCTGATCAGTAGCGCCCAAATCCAAACTCAGACCTGCCAGACTCAAGAGACCCAGGCTCCCAGGGCCTGGTGTGGCTTCCCTAACAACACAACATTTAGCCTGAGCCACAGGCCCCTCAAAGGAAGACCCATCCTAACCAGTTACCTCAAAGAGACACTGAAACAAGCAGGAATGCACCGAGAAGTGTGCTCTCAGCACACCGAGTCCAAGCCCATTTCAGGGGTTCAGAGAAGCCAGGGTTCCCTTGTGTCCGTAAGCACAGACGGAGGAAGAAATACACAATGTCCACGCTCCCAGCCACTTTATACAAAGGTGCCGCCCTGGGGAGGGGGGAGGTGCACTGCTGGCTGTCCCTTCCCTGCGGCTGCCCGTGACTCAGACACCGTCTCGGGCACACAGGGGCAGGCCTCCCACGCCCACCCCACGCCCTCTAGCCTCTCACCTCCAGGGAGCCCAGCTTCATGGTGGAGCCCGGCACAGTGCGGGGCATGGTCCGGCTGCGCTCCCCCGGCTCAGATACTTGGCGGGCGCTGGGTGTCGGTGGTGGTGGCTGGAAGGTCATCCCATAGGGGTTCTGCAGAGACCCATAGGCGGGGCCCAGCCCCAGGCCCGAGTGGTCCACAGACAGGAAGCTGGGGTAGCCTTCGGCAGCATGGGGCACTGTCTTGGCAGCCCGTCTAGGGGTGCCCTCGGGCCGGGCCCTCGGGGGATCTTCACCACCTCCGCCCCCGCTGCCAGGCTGCAGGCTCAGAGTCCGCCGGGGCAGCACCATGTAGTCCCCCTCGGAGCCCGGCTCGGGTCGCAGCCATGTGAGGTCCAGCTGCCGCAGGCCGCCTTCCCCACACACGTACACGGGGTTGGCCTCCTGGGGGGGCGGTGGCTCCCCCAGGCCTGGCGAGGCTGCCATGGGCACCAGGATATTCCCAGGCAGCGGTGAGAAGCTGAGGCCGCCCTCGGGACCCACGAGGCAGGACTTGGGCTCCTCGTCCTCATCCAGGGACAGGCGGGACAGTGTGCCCGTGATGGTAGACGGGTTGCAAGTGTTGACCTCCTTGAACAGAACTGGGGGCGGGAGTGGGAGAGAGGTAAGTCCTGGGGAGGAGGAGGCCCTGATGCCCTTGCCCAGGCTGGGGAGGTATACCAAGCCCCTGGGCTTGGATGGAGGAGGAAACTGAGTCTTGGAGAGGTGGCTACGGGGTAGATACTCTCTCACACACCGGGCATGTTAAGAAGAGTGTTCAGACTGGCCCAGAGGCCCACAGCAAGGCAGGGCAAGGCAGGAGCTCCCATAGGTCAGTTCCCGGTGCAGGTCCTGAGCTCTGACCCCCCACAGCTACGAGGCTGTCAAAATGGCCTTGCTCCTCCCCATTCCCTGGCAGCTCCTCCCCAGGAGCCAGAACTGGAGATTCTGGCAAGAGGCATGGAAATCATATAATAAGGTAACGGCCACTAGATGCCCTGCACCCTGCTAAGCATTTGACGTTCCCTCATTTATTTAAGGCTCAGAGAACTAAGCTGTTCGCCCAAAGTCACACATGAAGTGGTGTTCACAACCTTGACTCCAACTTAGGGCTGTCTGACTCTACAGCTAAACAGCACGACCAGACCACTAGCAGGGCCTCCCACGATGGGGCCGGAGGCCCTCCCTTCTTACCCACCCCTGGGGGCCGTTCTCGGCTCCGCACCCGCAGACTCACCTGTCTGACAAGCCAGATCCACATCCTTTTCAAAGTCTGACTATAGGCAGAGAGGGACAGAGCAGATGGGCAGAGAGAGGATCCATGTATCAGGGTGGGGGGACGGGGCTCAGGCCCCTCCCTAGCCACCCAGAGGGGCTGCCCTTGGCACACTGCCCAACAGAGCCCAGAAGAGCCTGAGACATGGTCTTCTCCAGCCTCGCCAGATAGGTGGGAAAACCGAAAGGGGAAAAGACTTGCCCAATGCCACCAAGCCGTCAGTGGCTGGGCCTGAATCAAACCCAATCTCGGTCCCCTCCCTGTCTCCCATCCCCTCCACGGATGGGGAAGATGAACGTGGGGCAGGGGGACGGGGGAGGGGTGGGGAGCACACTCAGAACCCACCCTCACCCTGCCTAGGCCACCTCACTCACCAGGATCTGCAGCTGTCCATTCTTACATGAGTCGGGCGAGTCTTCACTCTCATCGGCCCGGCACACACCCATCTGGCACTTCACCACGTCCTGGACCTGGGGGCAGCGGGTGTCTGCTGGGCCTGAGGCCACCACAGGGCCCCCGGCCACAGCTGGCTGTGCCTCCCACCCCAGGCGCCCAGGCGGGTATGGAAGGAAAGAGGCGCATCCAGTGTAGGGGAAGGTCAGAGGGGAGAAGGAGCCCTGGGAGGCCAGGAGTCCAAGGACAAGGCTGTCCCAGGCTACCAGCTTCTAATACCAAGGGCTGCCCAGCTGGGGGCCCGGTTGGGGCTTGGATCCTCCCAGTCTGCACAGGTGAGGTGGATGGGAGGGGGCAGGAGACGCCCAGCCCCACCTCTCGGCGCAGGAAGCAGTGCACAGCAGTGATGACAAAGCCCTGCGCCGAGTTGAAGACAGCGAAGAGAGCCTGGAAGAGGACTGAGCGGCGGTCTGTCATGGCCAGGACGGCTGACATCCAGGTGAGCGCCAGCAGGGGCAGCACCACGCAGGAGCTCCAGAGCGAGGCCCTGAGGACAGCAGCAGAGGGTCCATCAGGGTGACGCTCCAGGGGCGGTGTGGGGGGCTGAGTCCAGGCCTCCACTCGGCCTGGGGTCCTTAAGCTGCCCAAGACTGGCAGGGCCCCAAACTCTAAGACCTCAGCGATGTCCCCAAGCAGACAGAGGCTGAGGAGCCCGAGGCAGAGAAACAGAGAACAGAGACAGAGGCAGAGAATGGTGGGGGCCAGAGCAGGGACCAGGAGAGGTGGAAGGGGCTGACACAGTGGACCTGAGCCACAGTCAGAGGTAGCATCAGGGGACAGAGACGGGGAAGGTGGAAAGAGCCGGTGGGAGAGAAAAGGAAGAGGGAGGCGGAGGCAGACGCAGACGCTGTGAGTTTCAGCCCCAGTCTGCACGGAATCACGGGCCTGGGCTGCACCCCCCAGAGATTCCAGGAGAGGAGGCAGGAGGCTGGACGAGGAGAGACAGCGGCCAGGGAGAGAGAGCGTGGAATAAGCAGACACACAGAAAGATTCAACAGCGCGAGCGCATGGAGGACGTCAGAGCGCAGATCTTTGGGGATGGGGTCCGGCCCAGTGAAGCACAGGCTCTTCCCTCTCAGGTCCCCAAGGAGGCGGTGCCAGGCTCCCAGAGGCTGCTCAGAGCCCTGGGCAGAAAGATTACAGCTGGGGCTGGCCGTACAAGCTGGGGTCATGACCAAACCCACACATCCACCACCTCCTTGTCCAGGGTGGGAAAAGGCAGATGGGGTCCTGGCATCCAGGCACAGGAGCCAGCCCGCCCTCCCTGGCTACTGCCCACATGGGCACAGTGGGGCAGGCTTGCCACGCCCAGCCTACTCTGCCTCGTGAACACCTGGGTTGGAGAGTCAGGCAGCGGTGGGAACAGCTCTGCACCAGGCAGAAAGATGGGCAGGGGGCCAAGACCTGTCCTAGGAAGAGAAGTTCAGGGCTATTCAGCCTGGCAGGGGGCGGGCCCAGTGGTCTCCACAGCCCCCGGAGGCAGAGCCAAGACTCCGAAAGGGCCTAATCACAGTCATAAGAGCTACCATTGATTAGCCACCAATCCTCTGCCAGGCCCTACACTGAACAATTTACATACATTAGTTCGCACTGTGATCAAAACAACTCCAATAAACAGGCATGGGGATTATTATCCCAATTTACAGATGAGGAAACTGGAGTGTGCCCAACTAGGAGAGAGAGACAGAGCTGGGATGCAAACCCAGCTTGGCTGCCTCTAGAGCCCCAGCTTTTAACCGCTAGTTCTGAGAGACTGGGTCAGAGAGGCAGATGGCAGCCTGAGCGAGAGGGAGCTTTCTACGATGCACAGCTTCCCAGAGATGGTGCCAGCCGCCTCCAGAGGCGGTGAGCCTCCTGACCCTAGAGGTGTGTAAGATAAAGCTGGACCCCCACTGGTCAGGGAGGCTCAGATGGATTTCTGGCCCTGGGTGGGAGGCTGGGCCCCAGGCTCCTATGGATTCATTCATTCATCCTACTCGCGCATGGCTGCGATTTTAAGATTGTCACCTTCCAGAGGTATCTCCTCGAAATAATTCTCTAAGATTCTCTGCCCCCCAATTGATTGTGAGATTCAATGCCTCTGAAATTCTAAATCTCAGATTCTATGACAAATGATAAGACTATGATTCACTCATTCTAACATTCTTAGCTTGTGATTGTCTTATTCTAAGATTCTATCGCTCTAAGGTTCTATGGGCTCACAAATTCTAAAGGCCTCACATTCTAAGAGCCTCTGTAGGTTGGGAGTGTAAGGAGGGCTCCGCAGCTGTGCCTGGATAAAACATAAGCTGGGAGTGGGGGCAGGGGTGGGAGCAAGGGGTGGGCACAGGAACCCAGCATTTTCCCAGAGGCACAGACATTCACTCCCCGTTGCCCTTTGCCAACGTCGATGCCAAGCCCTTGAGAGTGTGTGGAAGTCGGCAGGGCAGGGCAAGCTTTCCAGGGCGCTGGGCTGATTCCCTCCTCCCCCCAACCATGGGCACTGCCCCCCATTCTTTTGCCCCCGCCCGCCCCCACCCCGCCCCCCGGGGGGCACAACTAACATGGCGTTCCTGGCCGAGGCTGAGCTGAGCAGGGGGCTGGGGACCGCTCCACACGCTGAGCAGGGGAGGAGCAGGCTGGCCCAGGGGCACCGCTCCGACCTCGGGGGCGGCACAGACACGGGAGAGGGGGGGAGACACATGGGAAGCGGGAGGAGACGGGGCAGCATGAGCCCCAAGTGGGGTGGGAGGGGGAGGGCAGACGAGAGAGAAAGAGGTGGGTTAGGGTGGGCGAGGGGCTGCAGCAGAGCACTCCGGGTGCCCACCTTGCCTGCACCCTTGATGCACCAAGGTCAGGGAGCCCCGGTTGGCATCGTCAAGCCCTGAGTCTCCAAGAGGCCCGGCCCTCCCTCCCTGTACCTCTTCCTACAAGGCCAAGTCACAGCCCCCTTACCCGGCCCTCTGCTTCTTGGACTTGTCCGAGATGCCATCACGTGCCATGAGCTTGTTGAAGACGATGATCCCAATGAGCATATTCACCTGGGGGCCCAGCGGGCAGGGGGACACAGGATCAACAGGCGCCCGCCTGGCAGGGAAACCCCCAACTGGGAGCTAGGGTACAGGGAGATGGTAGAGCCCCTGTGGCCACATCCCTCCCAGGATGCTAAAGGGGCACATACCAGGACAATGACGGCTGCGGGGCCCACAAAGGCATAGAGCAGGCCGCCCTCCAGGGAGAGCCAGCAGCTGGGGTGGAGGGAAAAGAGGGGACATCAGACACCGGGAGGCCTGCCCCTTGAACACCACCGCTCGGTGTCCCCTGGACTGCCGATGGGGCAGGGCCTCCAGCTGGGTTACAGTGAGCCCTGGGCTCCTGCTCAGCTTCAGTTTCCCCTCTAACAAAGACCCGGCCCCAGCCCACCGTGGGGATCAAAGGCTGATCCGTGAGCTAAATAGTTTTTAGAGATTACCTCCAATCCCAGCACGTGCTTTTACGGTCAGGGAAACAGAGGCTTGGAGACAGGGAAGAATTTGCCCAAAGCACTACAGGCATGGGCCTGAGAAGGCCCAATGGCCAGTCTGATGCCCTAACAGGTCCAGTAACCCCTGCTGCCCACCAAGGGAGGCCAACGTACTAGCTGGATGTACCGTATCCTTTGGTGCGAGTAAAGCCGACAGACACAGCCACCACCAGGGCTGGCAGACCTGGAGGAGGTTGGGGGGGGGGG